ATGTGCCGCTCTTTTTATCTTAACGGGAGAATAATTTTTTTGGAGAGTCTCTTGTATCTTACACAAATACGTTATGCAAAGCAATTTTGAAGAGGTAAGCTAGGGGGTTTCCCCGAGGGAGTAATTCGGGCTTGACCTCACAAATATCTGCAAGTGTGTATAAAATGTTCCCGCATGGAAATTGGATTGTTATTTTAAAACATACAGAGCAGTACATAGCAACTAAATCGCAACCCCTTGCTGTTATTATTTGGTCACAATAAATTTCTGAAAGTTTTATGTTGTCCGTGTTTCAGAATATAAAATATATGTGCAACTCATTTCAAAAATGCGTAAAATGCAGATAGAAATATGAAAAGAAGTTTTATAATTTAATTATAACGTTCATAAATATTGGTTGAAATTGAAAAATTGTAAAGTCAAAACTTAAAAAAATGAGAATCTTTTAATCTCATGATCATGAGATTTAATAAATAATTGTATTCATGACGAGAAACTTTTACACAAAAGAATTCTCTTGGTATTATGAATTGAACGCGGCGTAATCAGATCGTGAGAGATCCATGACAATGACGATACTTTTATTGCATTTATAGCAAGCCGATATCCAGAGGGATTACGACAATTACACGAATACCGTGAAAGTCTCTGGACGTCTAAGTAGCACAGCAGCGACTCTTACCTGTGGACGTGATTGGCAGATCGCTGGTAGGAGGTTAACAAGGTATTGTTTCTGTAATCAAGCGAGATGCTTTACGAGCGACCTGCACGACTCACTTTTCTGTTTTAATTAAGATAAAGGTACGTGAATAACAGGTTGTATACTAACAAATTCTGCATGACACGTAACATTGATCCTTGTTACAATCGATTTTATATGTATACAGAATTGACAAATGTTTATTGGCTGCATACGTTATTGGACGATTGGACAATGATTGTGTAAATCATTGTGCGTAAATCATTGTATATAAATAATTTTTAATAAATTTTGTTAATAAACTAAATAGCCAGTGATAAATTTTATACATTTGTAATATAATTTTTTATTTAATTAATATTAAAACTAAAATGTAAATAAAATTAAAATGTAAAATTAAGATAAAAATTTATTGTAATTCATTTATATAAAAATGATAATTTCTCCTTTAATTGATATAGGGATGAAAATTATTGAGTTTTTACATCGACACGTAAAATGCATTCGCCTTTTAGCTAACATGTATATGTCACATGCATTTTGTTTTAGCTTGCAAGCTCTAAAGCTATAAGTACGCGGAATCGATCGATGTACACCTCGCGTTCGTGAGAACAATGCAAAAAAAATTGCACGTTCGGAGGTATGACACTGGCCGATGGCAGGGTCGCAGCACGAGTAACGATAGTACGTGCGATATTGCGGAGAAATTGTACGAGTAATTATACGAGTGCGCCTGTGAATAATTAAGCGTATGGTAGCACTTATGATGTATTCGCGCTTGCCTTGAATAACCCCGGTACACACAGCATATTTCATGAGATTTTGCGAAACAGCAAAATCTTGAACGTTTATACATATAACAAAATTATCTGTATTCGGATATTAGTATTGGGACACATGTACATATTATACATAGACAAAGCTAAAAAATATGATATCGTGGCGTGTATTATATTAACATGCCATTGGGTATATTTATTATTCGCATTTATATACTTAATGCATTGTATCTAAAGATTCTGGAAAAATTATATACACATATACATACGCAAAATTATATGTCATATTATTATTCATCTCTACTTTTATAGAGATTATATCTAAATCTTTTTTTTTTAATCCAAAGTCAATGAAATAGAATATGAAAATTACTTTTACTATTATGGTAATAATTGACGAGTGAATCGGGGCAATAGGCCTTTCTAGGGATATGTAACAATCACAAGTAGATTAAAGCTGACAGGCATACTGCAGGCAACGACAGGGTGTGTCACTATGAAAAACTCCCATTGAAAAAATAAGTAGGCCGACAAACGTGTATTGAGAAAGTTTGCAGACGTTTTGTTTTCTCTCTTCCTTAGCGAACAGCATTCGATTATTATAGCAGGTCGGTATAATTTGCAAATAGACAATAATTTTTTCAAATTATAAATTACTCTCCTATATAATTACGTCGATTTCATGTAATGCATCGCGACGCAGATGTATTTTTGTAAGATATCTTAAAAGTTATCATAAAATATAATGAATTTTTAAAAAATATTTGTAACATATTGTAAAAAATTTGTAACATTTTCTGTTATAATGTATAAAGCACATATAATATTTTTATATTTCTTTTAAAATAAGAAATTACAAATAGTATTAATAATCTAGCAAAATATTAAAAAATAAAATAAAAAAAAGTTTTGGATTCATTTATCTCACTTCAAGATACATCTTGCATAATGAAATCTTCATCCAATTGACAAGTAGCAACAACGAATCTACACGATTCCACTGAAAAATAAGAGTAATAAAAATTCCACTGAAAATAAGAGTAATCAAAGTAATATCTCCTATTTATCAATGTGTGAGAGCGCGACATCTGCAAATTAGCGCGACTCGTCTCTCGGATATCACGACTCATCTCCAGCCGCGTTGGAACCGGACCGACGCGCGCGAAGTAAAAAGATTGATGACATGTCCCCGATCCGTGTATACCCTCGCGAAACGGGCGATGCAAAATCTTTCATGACTCGCTAATGTTTTGTAACAGTTCTTGTTCTGGCACAAACGTTGATAGATCGTTTCATTGACCAGCGACGAGATGAAGCTCGTCCGTCGTTCGCGAGAAGAACGATCGGCGCGCGATCGGGACGCGATAGAAACGAATGAAAAAAGAGCGAGGAAAAAGCGAGAAAGAGATAGAGAACGGTGGGAGAAATGAGAGGAGAAAATCGTGGCAAGGTTGGTGGAGCGATGGGTAGTAGGGTATCTGCCTATTATTCACGCGCGAGATAGGTCGAGGGGGTGGGGGTTGATCTAGCTCGATCTATGAGAGCCCGGGGGTGAGGCCAGACTTAGAAAGGTGGGTTAGGGGTTCGTGGCGAATTCTTATAAATCAAAACAGACACGCTATCCCGTCTCATAGAGTGTTTCCACCCTTTCTTACGTCAGCATCTATGCCTTCTTACTTCCTTACCTGGCCGACTGTTGGGAGTATAAAGGGAAGGGAAGAAAATAAAATATGACAAGGGAGACGCGCAAGCAGGTGTCGGGAGAAGCGATGGAGGGAGAAAGCGCGGCTCGACATATCGGATGTTGATGTATTATTGAGTTTGTCGCGTATTATCGGTCGCTATCCAGTATCGTTGACAAGGGTGGATGTCAAGAGGAAAAAAATTGTTAGTCCGAGATATCAACGTTCAAATAATGAACAAGGGACACGTTTATACGCTAGCCGCACAGATATTGATGATAGATGACAAGTGAATTATTAAGTTGCTAAATTATAAATGTAACTTTTATCATTACGCTTTAACCTTTAAATTTAATGAACCTAATTTCGTTATTAAAATCATGATGATAGAATTTAAAAATGTAATATATAAAAATATATAAAATGTAATGTTGCCAATCTTAAAATTTTTGCGCAATATTAGAGAATATTCTCTTTCAAAGATGCTACCTTCACCCGTGACATCGGATCGGCAGCTGTTATAAGAAGTCTTTCTCGAGTTACTAACCATCAGTATTAGTGTATACTGCGATATTATACGCGTAGCGATATTCGCCATTGAAAACAGTTTACTACGCATTGCCGTAGCATACGGTTATGAGAATAATGTACACCGCACTCACATACACACTGTTACGCCGCTATTTCTCTGAATAAGACATCAGCTTTGGACGTATTTGGGTAGTGAATATTTAATGTTATCGATATTGCCTTAAAAGTCGTTTGTGCGGAAACGGGCGTGGAACTGTTTAGTATACCATACAGCGCCTCGCCTACTATGTGAAATTGATTCGAATTTTTCGAGAGAAACGCCGTATTTAGATTTTATCTACCTCGAGGTTAAAAATGCAAGTACAATCTCGTGCTGGACTGCACACGGAAATGCGATGGCATCATGTTATGAGCACAGGCATTCTCGCGTTACATTAACGTAATTAAGAATATTGTAATGTAATTCAGTCCGCATAATATAATTATATGTCTTTGCTTATGTGCGATGCAGTATAATAATAATAAATGTACGTATGCGTTTGGCCGAAATACAATTTCGTATATCTTGGCGAGAACTGTCGCCGTGTAGTCCGAGTGCGATATTATGGCTGTTAACATAAAGCGATAGACGATTCTTGCCTAATAAATTATCTTGATAATGTTAACAAGATCGTTACCGCTAAAGCTACAAATCTTTTTATTTTTACACGTTTTTGTTCGCTCTGACATTCTTCCCTTTTTTTCTTTTTAAGTATGTTAGTTCTAATCGGCTTGAAACATGCAACCGGAAAGATTCTGCCATTGACTGAACGCCATTATCTGAACGAGCTGTCATATATTAATAACGATGAACAACGATATGGCTATTTTTGCATCCAGCACCTAATATCTCATAGCTGACATTGGAACATGTCTTCCTATAATACTCTTCTAATCTACATATGATTTATTTTCGTAAAGTCTTCCGTAAATTATCTACATTTATTTATAGAACATTGCCTACATGCTTGTAACATGATGTCTCGGTATTTTTTCATTATATTTGATAAATAAAATAAGTAATTCCATGTTAACAATGTTGTACTAATAAAAATCCGCGAAATAACAATATTTCGCAAAATATTTCCGTTGAATTATTACATCATACTTTATTGAATCAATCCGTCTCTCTAAAGAGAGACCGGAGGGAAAATTTAATTGCTGAAACGCGAGGAAAATCGAGGGAATCGAACATCTGCAATTGCCATCACGTTACCGAAGCGCCAGTCACACAAACGGAGAAATATAGAAAAGACGAAGAAAACTTACGAGGGTTCTGGATGTGCAGAGGAGACGGAGGGTTGGTTCGCGTGACGACGACCGGAGGAGGCATCTTGGCGTGCAAGGCGGCGAGGCATGAGTTTGCCATGTCGTAGATGAGATAAGCACCGTAGTATCGGCCCGCACTGCCCATTTTCAATTTATTCTTACCGGGCGCAACCGCCATTTTCGCGTATCACGGCCGCAGATACAGCCGCATCCACCGGTCGTGGCGATTATCACTTCTCTCACTCAACGATGATCGACTACAATTATCTCGCCAAACCTCCAATAAAATTAGAAAATGTACACTGGATCTTCATGATCCTTAATTTTAGTCATCCTCACGGCAAATTCCTTGTCTCGTGGCTGCGAATGTCGAAGTAAAAGCACAGCTTATTTGTTATCATCCCGCAGGATGAATTTCACATTCCCATTAAGGATAAAGCCGAGCATTTTGTTGTGTAAAGCTTGGAATAGATACACTTTTTGAGCGTTGAATATAAATTGTAAACCTGACCCTAGTTTTTTTCATAAATGTACAACACAAACGAAACGAAAATGAAAAAAAAGATACGTTTAATCACAATTATGGGTTTATCACTATCAATAATGCAAAAAGAAATATTACGTCAAATTCACCAAACACTATTCTCTTTGATTCCTCATAGCGCGAACACTCGATGACATTAACCGACAAATTGTAATTATAATTCTTCCCAGACACGAAGCTGTTAGATCGAAACTGATCGAACTGAGCGCATCTTTCAAGTGCAATAAGCGGATCATTATTCCTGCATGTCAACTCGGACGGTAGGTTAAATAACAGACTCGCGGATCACATGCACAGCAGTTCGATTCTCCGCAACCATGACGAATACCACTCGGAACTAATTATCCGGGTGCGAGCGAGTATTCCGTCCTTGCATTCTCGTGACGAACCGTTAGCACTGATCTCGATACTGCTCCTCGAGCGTAGGGTCTCGATATACCACGACGGTCGGTGGTCGGGATCGGTGGGCTGGGCAGTCGAACGGAAACGGTGCGGTTCCGTGGACCGGAAGCCTGAACCGGAAGCGTCACGAGTCAACGGGCGCTTCTCTGATTGCACACTGTGGTCGCGGTTAGATAAAAATGTGCTCGTATGCCGTTTATGTAGTTGGAACTCGATTGCGCCGAATAGAAGCCTCGCGATCTCGTAATCCCACACGAAGCTTTGCAGGAACGAAATTGAATTTTTACGTGGCGCCAAGAAACGGTCGTGTTTAATAAACGGTTAGATACGTAGTGTTTAACTGAGTTTTTAATTGGCAAACGTATCGTCGCGCGCTGACTTTTATATATGAGAGCAGTAGGAATAATCACTGCACCAGTGATATGTATTATCACGCCGTTGTGTACTGCTTCCCGGAAACTTAATACGTGTACTACGTAACAATAGACGAAAACGGGTCGTTTTAGTCAGTCAATTTCGTGGTTAGTTTACCGGTAAATTAAGGCCTTTGGTACTAAATATTTTTAAGAGACATTTCATGTATATTAAGAACTTGGTAAAAAATATTCAGATATTAGAATAATGCAAAATATTATATATTATATATATTTTGTAAATGATAAATGAAATAACAAATATTTATATAATTAAGATTTTTAAATTACATAATCAAGTTTTTAAAATTTTTCAAGAAACAAAAAAAAAGTAAGCGCGCTAATAAATTATTATATCGCGCTACTTTATGGCATAAAGATTATTAAAAATTAGTTGTTTAAATATCCGTTTAACGAATGTTTAATACGAAATAAAATTTAGGATAACAAAAGTTAATGTTATAAAAAAAAACAATAATAATATTAAAACTGTAGAGTAATAATAAGGATATAATGTGAAAAGTAGTTGATTAAGAGTATCAGTAAAGTGTTTACATCGTTACGATGAAATTTCATATTAACGTCTTTATAAATTTAATCTCATTTTAATCTTGTTGCCGAGAGTTACAGGCGCTAGAAATAAGGTGCATGTTCCGTGCAAAGTTATGAATCATCTGTATTGATTTTCAAGGTATTATGTATTGTTCAAATTTTAAGTAGCTTGGCGGTAAGCCAAACGTTATCGTTTATAAATCTGCCTATTTGTTAATGTCGCTTTACATTTGTTAATGTTATTTATTCGCATTGCCTATTTATTTCTCTCATCCATAAATTTTTTCAAAAATTGTGCAAAATTATAACCATTATTGTACACAGAGGGAATGCTAAAAGAGACTTCAAGTCATACGAATATATATATATATATATTTTGAGATTTCATCGTATTCACTGATAAATGCGATATAATCACGCAGTATTAAAATGATTTACGTTCTTAAAAGAGATCCGGTTTTTCATTATGGCGCACAATTAAATTCATAAATTGCATTGCAATATTGCAGCGAAAGTAGCAGAATTTTAACGAGTTTCAAGGGTTACAAATGCATATTCAAAAATGCGCTATAATAAAAAGCTGGAAGAGTCTATTGAAACCAAATGTAATAACACGTACACGATCTCGAAACAATAATCGCCGTTATCTGCAATTACGATATTTTGCAGCAAACGGTATTTTATTTCACTAGTTCTTTGACAACAAGCGTTTTTGTTTTTACTTTGACATACGTTATATTCAAGATAAAACAGGCAATATTAATCCGATCCGAATAGTAGATGCGCTTTGTGGCGGCGCACGACTGTTGCGCCGGGCAGACGTAACATCGGATTGCCGTATAAAAAATGTAATTGCAGCCCCAAAATAATTCACGAGTTCTCCGGTTGTTTGTTCCGCGGTGTTTTTATATCTACCGCGGTCGGCCTGTCTGTCCCGTCTTCAATAATTAATACGTTCATATCCGGTTATGCGGTTGCGTTCTATGCACATTCTCTATGCATTCTCCCACCGCGCTCGCTCTATCCAAATGGTCATCATCGCCGTATCCACATGCGCCGTATGCTGATCATTATCAACTGAAACCTTCGCTTCTGCAAACAATAGGCATCGTCGTATGATCATGCTTGAGCTATCGTCTCGCGCAATTATCGGAATCGATTATCCATCCGATGGAAACTGCGACGATTCGAGGCTGAAACGCACAGAAGTCAGACGAGAAACAAAGCCCGTATCGTGGATCTACCGAACTCCCGTCTCGAAATCTCGTGACTTTGCAACTAACCGAGATTTTACCAATTCGTTCGCGTTGCGAGAGCGGTCGAAGGTGCACTGCGTAAGCGTTCGTGGACGCATTCATTGTTCAGTCTCAAAGACATACTCGCGCTTATCGCTCTTGCATTATGTGCGTAAGGCCGTGTGCAAACACAAGAAGCGAAAAAACAATTATACAAACGAATTGCAAATGTGTTTTTTACATGTTTTGTCGATTTTTCCTGTTTACTTTTTTATTGAGTATAATAAAAAAGATAAATAACCAATGGAATAAAAAGTAAAATATGAAAATGCGAAGAACTTTATCGACGCGACATCAAAAAATTGCAAGAATATTAAGTTAGAGTAAAATAGTAATTGACCACGCAACACGTTCAAATTTTATTGTTAACTTCCTCTCAATGTAGGTCAACTTTTATTTCATTTTTTACGTGTTATTGTTGAATACTTGCAAGTGTAAAACGACAGTCGCAAAACATGAAGTTTTCTAATAAAAACTTTGCTATTTTCATACTGCTACGAATAAAAAAATTCTTTCTTAGTAGTGTATAAAAAACACAATTTTAAGATTATTTGTGCTATATAAAAAGATGATGTGTTATAAATTATTATCGAGATCGAATAAAAAAATCTATTCTATAATTTCATTCTCGTTGACGTGAGCTTTACAAAACAAGAACTTACTAACTATTATTAACATAATAAACATTTAACTAATATTTTAATTAACATTCTAATAAATGCTTAATTTTTTTATTTACCTAATGCAAACCTATTTTAAATTTATAATGATGATAATGAAATTTTCTAATAATCCCGCTTTAATGTTCTTTAATTATTAAATAATTTAAATATGATATTCCGACAAAAATGAATTCCGATGAAAATATGTATCTTTTTTGCGAGTTTTAACCATGAAACGTATTCGTGCACTTGCTCATTTACGAGCGCGCTCTCTCGAGATTCAGTTTTAGTCCATGTTTCCTATATATATTTTTCCTTATCTCGTTTTTACATTTTATCATATCTCGACTCATATGCACGTCCGCTTTCGTCGGGCTTGTCACTTCGTTTTCGCCCGGCCACTTCAGTATGCACGCCGTCCTAAGTGCCGCTCTTCGTACGTGCGTCACACACTCGTCGCCGTTGGTGCATGGTCGACGGGCGTATCGTATCGTATCGCACACGGAGAAACGACGCGGCTCGGTTACAACACGAACGCACCGGCGACAATAGCACCGACGGGACGCGCGACAGGAAGGTGGCCGTATCAAATGCTTAACGGCCAACACAATGCCACGTACATACACCGATCTCACGATCGCAAGCACGATTGTCGGCGCGCCAGGCGCGGACGCACATTGTTACTTCCGTCGCGAAACGTTTGACCAAACGAACGCTAATTTCATCGGCACTTCGCGAATCGAATCTTGGCGGCGATGCACGATTATGAGCGACTGTGCGTGCAAAACAAATGTCTTCTTCTCTCGTCGAAGTATTTTTCTCGTAAACGCTCATATTTGCTTGTATCAACTACAACATAATAAAGTGAGAAGAAATTACGTTTTTATTTTCCTAAAGTAAAAAAGTAATGATCTTCTTCATTCCATAAGCGATAAAAATTATAAAAGATAAAAATATGTTTATCAAGAATATGCAAGAGTAAAATTTTTACGAAAAAGATGTGTAAGAAGTCCATGTCACGCAGGAAATCTTACAAAAATATTATTTTAATCAAGTCTCTCTCTCTCTCTCTCTCTCTCTCTCTCTCTCTACTATACTA